GAGATGAATGGCAACAGCTTTACAGAAACATATCCTAGGCTTTGCACCTGCACACATCCAGACAAGCATGCATGTTCACACTCACAGAAGCACAGGCAGGTGCCACATAAACCGACGTGCATACCCCTCAACGCACGTGGTTATACAGCAAAGCCACGGCACACACCAATACTCAAGTAGATGGTGGGTACTAAACATGTCAACACATTCCCAACAATAGAGCAACTATACTATCTGTGCCATCAGCCCAGCACTTGCATGCCTTGAAGAGGTAGGACATAAACCATGGAAACCTACCAGCATCGCTGACAACGTCACCGTGTTGCCCAAGCCAAGGTTCAGATTCTGGCCGCATTTTTTTTTTACCGCTCAGTCCCATGTAATGCAGCTCATGTCCTTGCTCTTGCCTGTTTTTTCTCCCACTTCGCTGGACTTTTGCAGACTCCTCCAGGTAACCTCCACCCCTACCCAGAGTTGGGTGTGGGGGATTCATGCTGTAGACAGATTTCTTCTCTCTCTACTCCTCCGCCCTAGATGATCCACCACTAATTGGGTGTTAAATCTATCTTGTTTCCTGACTGGAMATGGTACCTGGGTCTTGGGGTTCCACCTGCCTCTGTGACCCCTCCACCCAGGTATATAATGGGCACCTCAAATCTAACATCTAACATGAAATTCTCACTTTCCCCAAAACCTGCTTCCCACATCAACTTCCCTCAGGTGCWTGGGCCCAAGATCAACACTAAATTCTTCCCTCCCTCATGTCCAAGTCCACACAGGAACTCCCTTCTAAACACCACCAATCTCCTCTCTCTCCTCCGCCAGCCATCCCAATCGGGGGCCCTGGCAGTCACTTGCCTGGATGGCTGCCAACCTGCTCACTGCTGCCTCCATTCTTGCACCCCTGTGGCCCTCCCTACCCCAGCCACCACAGGGATCTTCCCAAATATCATGGGACCATGACACCTGCTTAAAGCTCTCCAGACCTCCTCATTACACTTATCATCAAAAGCAAGCCCCTGCTTGGTCGCCCTCTCTGTCAGTCACTCTCCCATGCCCACAGGTGCCCATACTGGTTTTTTGGTCCTGTGAGCCCTTTTCCCTTTTTCCTGCTGGGGATACTCTCCTCCAGATTCTGGCTTGGCTGCCCCCTTGCAGGATTCAGGTCTCACTTCAAATGTCCCTGTGCCAGCTCCCCCGGTGTCCTTCACCCCATCCCCCTCACCCACCCTCCTGTGCACACTTCAYAGTACCCAAGACTATCTCCTCCATGCGTCCTTCCCAGCGAGGACAAGGACTGGTGTCTTGTTTACTGCCAAATCCCCATTTTGAGGAAGGGCTAGGCACACACTCTCAGCAGTTGTTGACCAGGGGCTGTGGCAGTTTATACACAGGCATGCCCACCTCCGCAAACAGATTCAAGCGCTATTAAATGGAAATAGGCAACCACACAGATGTGGGCAGAAATACCTCCAGGCCACCTCTTGAAGCAGAGTAAACAGTCACAAAGACATCCAGGTGGGCGTCAGTCCTAGTCACTTCCCCATCTAGATCTGCCCTCTACTTGAACCCAGTCTCAGGAGCKGTGGAGTGGGGGTCTGCTGCCTGGACAGGGAGGGGGTCGATGGCCCACAGGCCTCAGGCAGCGCCTTCAGCTATGTCTGCAATTTCCTCTCCCCCTTCCTTCCCTCCTCCTTTCTAAGGCTCCTGCCAAGAAGGCCTCCCCCTCACCCCAGCTCCAACACCAGGGGGGGAAGCTATGGAGCAGGGAGGAGGGTACTGGGCAGAAAGAAAGAAGACCCCAGCTGCAACACTAATCACACATTGCATGCACACACCCCGAACCCAAATGGAGAAGCATGTGTGTGTGTCCAGGCAAGTTTAGGGGGTGGGGGCATGCATTCTGCCACAGGGGTCTGTGAAGAGGAGCCCAGGAGCTCTTTTGCACAAGCAGAGGCCCCATGCAGGGTTTGGGTCTGCAAGCCTGGCCCCAGCCTGGCTCAACAATCCAACAATCATTAACCCTGAGCGACCAGATCAGAGCTGGGCCAGCTGGACACACTCATGCCTGGGCCTCGGGAGGAGGGGCTGAGAGCCTCCTTCCTTCCAAGATGGTTGAGGGCCTAGAGGTGCTGGCGACCTCTGCCCAGGTCTGGGAAAGATCGGGGAGGAGGGGCAGTATTCCCTGGATGCGGGAGGGAGCTTGGACTGCCTGAGACCCCTGAARGAAGTAGGGGAGAGGGAAATGGTTTGGAGCCTTAGTGCTCGGGTCAAAGAGCTGTGGGTTCAAAACCTGACCATCTGGTGAGGTTCTTGGGTCTCTCCATGACTCTGCTGACTTTATCTGCGAAGTGGAGATAATGATACTCGCGTTCTAGGGTTGTTAGGAATAAATGGAGGACGTGTAAAGGGTTGAGCCCGCTGCTTGGCACCGAGGCAGAAAAGCGCGTTATTAATAACAGTGTTATTGTTGTTGTTAGTGGTGGCCCGGGGGCGGCCCCTGCCCGCGGCCTCCCCAACGGCTTCCTGTGGGGGAGCCGACCGCCACCCCTCGGCGGCCGCGCGCTCCTCTCCCCTTCCTCCGCGGCGCCCTTCCCCGCCTCCCGGGCCGCCCCGCCCCGCCCCTCCTCTTTCCTCCGAGGAAACTTTCCGCCGCTGGTCCATCGGCCGTGTCCGGCCCGCGCTGCCGTCGCTGGGAGCCGAGCCGGGCGGGGCGGCTGGGACCGGACCGGGCGGGACCGGCGGGCCCCGGGTGTATGCGGCCGCCGGGACCCACGCCGGACCCGCCAGGGCCGGGCAGCCAGGGAACGGGCGCTGACGGTGAGTGAGTCGGGCCTCCGGCCCCCGGGCGAGATTCGGGAGGGCGGCCTCCCCTCCCCGGAGTCGTCAYCCACCCGCATCCCGCCCCGGACGACGAAACCGGGCCTCCCGGGGACCCCACAGGTGGGCGGAGTCTCCTGCGGCTCTCCCGACTGCTCCCCAGGATGGAGGGGCGTCCGCGCCGGGAGGAAGGATTCCCCCTAACAGGACCCAGGTCTGCGACCAAGTTAGGGAGCCGCTTCCTGGGGTGGAAAGGGCCGCTCCTCSGTGGAGAGGAGCTGCCTAAGGGGCCAGCGGGTCAGAGCCAGCTCTGGGCTGGGTTGAAGGGGAGGACTGACTTCGCTGACCTCGCAGGCTGACAGGGAAGCTGCCCCCGGAGCAGCATGGACGCCCCCCGAAGAGACATGGAGCTACTCAGCAACAGCCTGGCGGCCTACGCACACATCCGCGGTGAGGGCCAGGCGCAAGGGCCTTGGGGACAAGGACGCTTCCGCGCCCCTATACCACCCGATCGCTCCCCACCTTCGGGTCGCGCCCCACCTCCACGCCCCTGCCATTATAACCCTTTCCCAGCCTGTCACCTACTCCCTCCCCTCCCACTCTGATTTCCTGATGACTGTTCCCCGCCGTCCTTCAAATCGGGGTTACCTCGGGGGGGTTACTGTCCTTGCCCCAAACCCAGAGTCTTTCCAAGTTGAAATGGTTCCTATAAGCCAAGGTCCTTCCATGACCTCTGCCCTCTGTCCCCCAGCTAACCCCGAGAGCTTTGGCCTCTACTTCGTGCTGGGCGTCTGCTTTGGCCTGCTGCTGACCCTCTGTCTGCTGGTCATCAGCATCTCCTGCGCGCCCCGCGCGCGGCCCGGGGGTACGGCTTCTCGCCGGGACCTCCGCAGCAGCACCGTAGAGCCTGAGGACGACGATGAGGATGATGACGACACGGTGACGCGACTGGGCCCCGACGACACGCTACCTGGCCCGGAGATGGCTACGGAGCCCGACGGACCCCTCAGCGTCAATGTTTTCACGTCTGCTGAGGAACTGGAGCGCGCGCAGCGGCTGGAGGAGCGCGAGCGGATCCTGCGCGAGATCTGGCGCACAGGGCAGCCAGACCTTCTGGGCACCGGCACCCTGGGGCCCAGCTCTACGGGCACACTGGGCCGCATGCACTATTACTGACGCCTTACTCCGGTGCATGGTGCATGGCGCTGAGTACTGGTCAGGCAACTGAGCCTAGAGCTGCCCTAGGACCTTTGGACTGCCTCACCCCCCTCACATTCCCCTGGTGCTATTGGATATGGGCGCTACCTTCTGGGAGGCACCCTTCCCTGGGCCGGGTGGGAGGAAGATGCAAAGTCTCCACCTTGTCTCCTTAAGAAACGATGAAGAGGTGAAGTGACCAATGAAAGCTGCATTCTCAGTGACTCAGTCTCTCCCTCTGTTCCCTTGCTACTAGTGGTCCCCAGGACTGAGAGCCAACTCCACTCCTTTACCAGACTGTACCACCTCGTTACACCCCGCCAGACCGACATGCTTGTTCCCACTTCACAGATAGCAAAAAGAGTCACACACCCTTGCTCCACATTCCGCCAGTCGCACACATAATATGCATTCCTTACCAGCGAACACCTGAGCACCTTGCCCTGGGCTCAGGCATCATTGCAATCACACAGGGTCTGGGGACCCTGACCTTGACGCTAAGGGCTTTCAGCCCCAATATAACTGTGTGTGCTTGAGGGGGCGGAGTTTATGTCTAAACCGAGGGTGCATTCGAGTGGATAGGTGACTGTCTGGGAGGTAGGTGGGGGGTGGGGGTTGGGGGAGGATATCTGGGCCCAGAGAAAAGAGCTTCTCAGCCCAACCTCCATGCACAGCTGGATTCCGGAATCCCTGCCCTCAGGCAGAACCCAACCCGCCCGGCCCCCTCTGCCCCCAGGTCTCGGGCTAGGGGTTGCCATAGGTAGGAGATGCCTTCCCCACCCCCCACCATCCGGTGGATAAAAATAACTGCGCTCAGGCCTTGGAAACGTAATGGGAGCCACATGTTGGCCAGATGTGCCCGGGAGAGACCGCCAGGAATGCGGAGGGCGGCGAGAGCCGAAAGACTCCGCCCACCACAGAGGCCCCGCCCCCACACAAATCAGGCAGGATCAGCGTGGCGTGTCTGGGGCTGTTTACTTTCTTGAGTTTTTAAAAACTGTATACAAGGGCGGGCTGGCCCRAGCCAGATGTCCCCCCAGGTCCTGCCGTGGCGCCTCTCAGGCCCAACCTCAGTGCGTCTGCGTCTGCGCATGTTTGAAGCCCTGCTTCGGCGACTTCGGTCTGCTCTGCATCAGCTGAACCTAGAGGAGAGAGGGAGTCAGGGCCGGCAGCGATCACCACCCTCCTGTGGGGGTCTGCACCCCACTCACCTCTAGCAACCGGCGCTTCTCCCTCTCGCTCTTGAGCTCCTCCCAGATGTCAGTAATCTTCCCTCTGTGTACAGGAGGATCAGGTGAGGGGTCCTCAGACCCTTCCCTTCCTCCCCACACCGCCCAGCCCCTGTCCACTTACTCCAGCTGCAGCTCCAGCAGCCCCAGCAGCTCCCTTAGAGACCCCATCTCATCCTTTAGAGTCTTTACATCCACTTCATCATTCTTGCTTTCGGAAGAGTTTTGCCTTACTAGGAAATGGGGGTTGGGAGTCTCTTGGTCTGGAGTTGGCTCTACAGTGTGTGGGGCTTGGGGGTCAGGGTCTATCCCTTTAAAGAGCACCTGCTCTTTGGGAGCCACCTCTTCTGTCAGCGGCATCTCCTCCTCTTTTGGGGTAGGCTCTTCTTTCGCAGGTGCCTCCTTCAGGAAGGTTTTGGCCTTCTCCAGGGTCTGGGGCTTCGTAATGGCAGGCATAGACTTGGACGCATCCTGGAGTGGGGAGCTATCCCCATATTTCATCATACAAAGGCAACTCTCTGAGGAGTCAGGCTGCAGGGGGTACTTCTCTGGCATGATAGCCTCCTCTTGGGATTGAGCCTCTGTGGACACAAGGGATTTCGCCCTCTGCAAACTCTCCGGGGGAGAGAAGTGCTGGAATTTAGTATTATCTCCAGGGGAGACTTCTGCAGAACACACCTGCTCTAGGGTCAAGCTCTTTTCTAGGGCACAGGCCTCATCCACAGAAAAGACCTTTTCTGGAGTGGAAACCTTGTCCAGAGTCCGGGTCTTCTTTGGAATGCGGACCTTTTTGGAAGCCAGGATCTTCTCTGGGTTGGGGGCCTTATTCTCCAGAGTCAGGGTCTTCTCTGGAATGGGGACTTTGTCAGGAGCTAGGATCTTCTCCGGGCTGGTGGGCTTATGTGGAGGCTGGATCTTCTCTGGGGTGGCAGTCTTCTCTAGAGCAGAGGTCCTATTCACAGAGAGGGGCTTTGCCGGGCGGGGCTCTTCCTCCTGTGGTGATGGGGTGAGATCTCAGCCAAAGGCTGGATGCTGTGAAGGGTTGAGTCTGGTTCCCCTTTGTCCAGGATCCTTCACTCTTGCACACCACACCTCTGGGGCCCAGCTCTGCCCAGTATCTCCAGACTCTCCCATGTCTCCAGCCCCTTACCTGATTGGATTTGGGACGCTGCCGGGAAGCCTGGGTTTTGGAGTGCTTTCTGCCAGGTTGCCCAGGACCCCCACTGAGGAAGCTGTCCTTGGAACCTATCAGAGCAAAATCTCAGAGACCCAAGGCTACTCTGAGCCCTGATCTCTCCCCATTTCTGTACCTCAGTACAGCCACCCTTATCACTGTCCACCAGGTGTCCCCTCCACTGAAAGAAGGAAGCCCTTACCTGAGTCTCGGGAGGGGCGCTTCTGACTATCGCCAGTGGGTGTCCAAGATGTCCTGGAACATATCCCCATCAGGCCCTGGGATGCAGGTGGGAGGAATAGTCCCTCTGTACCTTTTTCCTTCCCCCAATCCCACGTGTTCCTTACTTGGCTTTGCTGGGCCCAGACGGAGCTGTCACCAGCTTCTTGACATTAGAGAGGGATGTTTTGGGCATCAACTTTCTTGGTTCCTTATTAAGAGCTGGGAGGAGAGAGCAGCGAAGCATGTGTTCATTGACTTGCCATCCATATGCTAGTCTGGCCCTGTCTGTGCTGTGTGCAGAGACTGTGGGCAGATGAGTCCCATCTGACTCTCAAGAAGGTGACCGCTCTAACCCCTTCTTCCTCCCTGAGCTCCAGACACATGTTCAACTGCCCTCTCAATATTCCCACTTGGGGGCAGGGTAGTTTCTTGGTAGAGTGCTTGCCTGGCATATGGGAGGCCAAGGGTTCAATCCCCAGAACTGCAAAAAATAAAATAAACAATATATAAATATAAATTTAAATAAATTTTTAAAAATCCGATTCGAAGAGCCACTGGCATCACACACTTGACATCCAAAACCAAGCTCTTGCCTCCCACCTCTAAATCTGTTTCTTTCTCAGTGTCCACTGTTTTACCCATTTACCCACTTGCTCACGAGGAAATGAAAAGTCATCCTTGACTCCTTTTCCTTCTTTATGCTGCACATCCAAACCCTCAGCAGATCCTGTCTGCTCCACCATCAAAATACATCCGGAGGGCTGGGGTGGAGCTCAGTGGTGGAGCACTTGYTTCACTGGTACAGAGCCTTGGGTTCAGTCCCCAGCCCCACAGAAAAACAAAACATCCTGAGTCTGATTACTCCTTACTACTTGGTGGTTAGTCACTCCCAAGGGCACCTGGCCCATGACTCAGCCTCCATCCCCTGCCCACCATGAGGCTCCTCCCACCATAGCTAGAATGGGCTTGGGGTCTACTGGGGAAACAGACATTAAGAAGTAGAAGTAAAATATTTCACATTCGAGAGTTATTGTTATTGACCAACAACAAGCAAAGGGACATACATTTTCCTGTTCTTTTTTTTGAGATGGTGCTCACTATGTTGCCCAGGCAGGCCTCAAACTCCTGGTGGGCTCAGGTAATCTTCCCACTTTAGCCTCCTAAGGAGCTGTACTAGACTATAGGCATGCACCACTGAGCCTGCCTCACAATTTTCTTTTTTTAAACACATTAAGGATCCAACCCAAGGGCATTCTGTCACTGAACCACAGCAGTAGCCCTTTTCAATTTTTYTTCCAAATTTTAATTTTTTAATTCTAATTTGTTATATATGACAGCAGAAAGCATGACAATCCATAATACACCTATAGAGCACATTTTTTCATATCTCTGGTTGTATAAGCCCTTTTAATTTTTAATATTATAATTTTATTTATTTATTTATTTATTTATTTATTTATTGGTACCAGGGATTGAACCCAGAGTGTTTAACCACTGAGCCACATCCCCAACCCTTTTCAGTTTTTATTTGAAACAGGGTCTCATTAAATTGCTTAGGGCCTCACTCAGTTGCTGAGGCAGGGTTTCAATCGCAGTCCTCCAGCCTCAGCCTCCCTTACAGCTGAGATTATAGGCCTGTGCCACCATACCCAGCCCTTTTTAATTTTCAGACAAGCTCTCCCTAAGACATGGAGACTAGTCTTGGACTTGTGATCCTCCTACCTCTGCCTCCCATGTCATTGGGATTATAAGCATGTGCCACTACACTCAGCTTCACAACTATTTATTTTTGGTTTTAGGGATTGAACCCAAGGGCACTTTACCACTGAGCTCCATCCACAGCTATTTTACTTTTTATTTTGAGACAGGGTCTCACTAAATTGCTGAGACTGACCTCAAACTTGCAATCCTCTTGCCTTAGCCTGCAGAGTCACTGGGATTACAGGCATGTGCCTGCCACCACACCCAGCAGCTTCATAATTATTATTATTTTTTAATCTCTTTTTTTGTAGTTATAGATGGACAGGATGCTTTTTTAATTTATTTTTTATGGCGCTAAGGATCTAATCCAGTGCCTCACACATGCTAGGCAAGGACTCTGCGACTGCACTAAAGCCCCAGCACTTCACATTATTTTTAAAAAGGTATAATAGAAGCCAGGCGTGATGGCACATGCCTGTAAATCCCAGTGGCTCAGGAGCCTGAGGCAGGAGGATCAAGAGTTCAAAGCCAGCCTGAGTAACTGTGAGGCAATAAGCAACCAGGTGACCCTGTCTCTAAATAAAATACAAAACAGGGCTGGGGATGTGGCTCAGTGTTCAAGTGCCCCTGAGTTCAATCTCCAGCACCCCCCCCCAAAAAAAAAAGAAAGAAAGAAAGAAAGAAAAAGAAAAAAAGAACTACATTATTAGAAATGAAAAAAGGAGGGCTGGGGATGTGGCTCAAGCGGTAGCGCGCTCGCCTGGCATGCGTGCGGCCCGGGTTCGATCCTCAGCACCACATACCAACAAAGATGTTGTGTCTGCCGAGAACTAAAAAATAAATATTAAAAAAAAATGAAAAAAGGAAAACTACCGCATTTACAATAGCCTAAAAAGAAAAAAACACACAAAAACAAAAATTAGGAATTAACTTAAAGAAAGAGGTGAAAGACATGTATAATGAAAATTACAGAA